CACGGCCACGCCTCCCTCGTGCCGCACCTCGAGCTTTCTGCGGGCTTCCGGAAGGCCAGGGGCCGTGAGGGGAGCACAGGCCGCCCGCCCTGTGCTGATGCCCGAGGCCCTAGCCCTCTGTACCTATCTCCCAGGTGCCGAAGGGCTGACGAGGTCACCCTGGAAAAATCACCAAGATTTTCCACCAAGGCTCACGCTAGACAAGCCCAGCCAGACGGGGCTGGCTCCAGACCTCGATGGGGCCCGAGTCCTGGGCCAGGGGGGTGGGGGTCTGCCCTGGAAGTGGTGTGGCTCCACGGGCAGCAACGGGCATCTCCGCAGGACACACGCTGACATGCTTGGCTATGTGGCTCTGGGGGCGGGGAGCCGCGCTTCGAGTGCCGAGGTCCCGTGGAGATGGCACACCAAAACCCTACCACAGGCTGTCACCTGCCGGGCTCGCAAGCTAAACTTGCACTTGGACACTGGAGGCAGGAAGGGAGGCCGCCTATGTCAAGACGGACGGCTGGAGCCCCAGACAGAGGGAGTGCCTGCCGGGGTTCAGGCAGGCCCCCGGCCATCCAGCGAGCAACCCGCCAGGAACTGGGCCCTGTGGCCCCTCAAAGCCCAGGGATTTGAGGAACTTGGGACAACTCTGCAGGGGTTTGGACACGAGGTGCCCAGAGGAGGGTGCACCAGGCCTCTAGGGTCCCCAGAGCAAGAACTGGACTAAGCCAGGCCCTTCGAGACACCAGCCACACACAACCCCAAAGTCAGACTGCTCCACAGAAGGCCTGAGTGAACACGCTCTTGGGAGACGCCAAGCCTGGCAGGTGAGCGGGGGCCACCGTGGGACCAGGAGGCTGCGTCTGCACCGAGCCAAGACGCGTCTCCCCTGTGCGGTCGGGCAGGGGCCACTGAAGCCCCCTGGCATGGGTATGAGCGGAGACCAGGAGGGGATGGGCCCAGGCCTAAGAAGGGACAAGCCAGGGGACGAAGGTGCAGCTGAGAGGAGGAGGAGCTCCAGAGGGGCAGGTAAGCCTGGGGGATGCGGAGTCCTCGCCCTGCAGAGCCCCGAGTCATGGAAGCGGGGACCCCCGCACACACAGGAGGGGCCCCCCCACACTGGAGCAGAGGAGCAGCTGGAGGATGCCTGGCTGATGACCGCTGAAGGTCACGGGCTCAAACCCAGGCCACGGCCGCCTCGGAGGTGCTACTTCCCAGAGGTGCAGAGCGGACACGGGAGCACCTGCCTCCCAGCGTGCACGGGCGAGGCGGACACCCTGCAGGTGAGACCCAGGCCCACCCCCGGCCCGGGCCCGCACTTACCTGGGGGCTGCTGGTGCTGAAGCCCAGGGTGGGCGTGGTGGGCACGGACATGGAGTGGGGGCCCATGGGGGAGCTGATGACCGAGAAGGGCGGGCCCATGCCGTTGACAGGGGAGCTCAGCGTGCTGATGGGTGAGGGCAGCTGTCCTGGGGAGCCCAGCGAGGCGCCGAGGCCAGGCCCCAGGGACGGGTGCAGCGAGGGCGCGGCCATGGAGCTGCGTCCCGTGGGGGAGCCGAGGGACGAGGAGCTCACCTGGGTGGAGAAGTCTGCAAGAGAAGGCACAGAGGGCGGTCAGGGACCCACGCGGACGGCCCGCTACCCCTGGTCCGCGGAGGCCCCCGAGGCGGTGGAACGGGGAGCACCGGCCCCGGGCAAGGCCGCGGGCGCCCCCATCCTCGTGGCCCACGGACGAGAAGTCACGAAGACACACGTCGGGCCAGGCCAGGGTGCCCGGAGCTCCCCTCCGAGGCACCAGCCCCACCAGGCCCCGGCAGACGCAGAAAGAGCAGGGTGACGGCTGCCGGCAGGACACCCTGAGATGCCCGTCTGGGCAAGGAGACTAGACGGCTGCCGCTCGAACCCTCAAACCCTCAACGCCCCGTGCCTGTGCACCCGGAACGCCCAGCAGGCAGGCGAGGCCCGCCCCCCGCCCGCGTCCTCGGGGAGTCAGAGGGAAGGTCTGGGAGCAACCACGGGAGACGAAGGCTCAGGGGTCCAGAGCATCCTCGGCAGAACCAAGTCCGCGTCCCCGTACACAGTAACACCTGCAGCGAGGAGCTAGGCGGGGCACCCCAGGCGCCCCACACTGCCGCTGGCGAACCGAGGCCCCATGCTCTTACAGCTGCCCCAGCAGGGCGTGACTGGCACTGGGAGGCTGCACTGCCTGGGGCCGCTCGGAGACCTGCAGCAGAGGCCAAGACACCAGGTCCCCAAGCCCCTCTGCCTTGTGGGGCCCCAGGAAGGCGCACACTTCCTGCGTGCCTGAGCCCGGAGGAGGGGCCCGGCTGTGCACCAGGCGTGGGGCTGGGCAGCAGCAGAGGCCATGGAGGGAGGCTGGGGCCTCCCACACCCCGGCCTTTCATCAAAGCCCCGACAAGCGCTCACCAGGCTCCCAGCCCGGAGAGCTCGGCAGGCAGAAGCACCCCAGCCGGAGGCTCGCGGGTGGTAAACCCAATGCCCACCGGGCTGAGCAGGGCCGAAGAAGGCAGCTGGAGCCCAGTGACGCCCTGGGCGAGCCACGCCCCTCCGGGCCTCAGCCTGCCCACAGCAAAGGGTCTCTCAGGCCTCGCTGCCCGGCCCGCATGATCACACCTGCTTATGAGAAGTCCAGGGCATTGTGCGGGGGGGTCCAGGCACAATGGAGTGGCCGCCGTCCACGCACGAACCAGGCTGGGGCGCACACCTGGCTGCACCCTCAACGGCCCCAGGACGTCTCCGTCCCCCAAAACCTCTGAGTGCCCCCTGGGCACCTGGCCTGGAGCAGGAAGCAGCCCTGAGCGTGTGTGCCTCGTCCCCCAGCCTCTCGTCACTGGTGGCCTATGCAAACTGCGTCCCCAGGGACACGTGCTACCATGCTTCAGGACACCGCCACAGCCAGCACAGGGACAGGGAGCGGGTCTGAACCTGGCCGAAGCCTGAGCACTTTCCAGGTCCTTCCGAACTTGTCCCTGGTACCGCCGGGGGCCACGGGGGTGGCGTGATGGTCCCACAGGAGCCCCTGAGGCTCCGCCACCCGGCCAGACTCCTCCGCTGGCGGCATTTACCTGTTCCCGTCCCGCAGACCCCCGCCTCCTGGGCACGTCCTCCCGCACGTCTCCCCTGAGGGAGGACAGGGGCCTGGAATTCCACGAGTTCAAGCCAGGGCCTGGGAGCCGGCCCGCCACGGTGCCCTGCCTGATCCCACAGACAAACGAGCCTCACCCGATCCACCTGACATCTTCGCTGGTCACAAAACCAGAAAGGGCCCACCTCGTGGCCTCGCACGCAGATGCGTAAGGAGTTCCAGAAGCGGACAGCCGTGGCGCCGTGGGCAAAGGTCCACACTGCACACTAGCCCTATCAGCCACTCGACAAGCTAGACACGCGTGGTGACCGCCCCCTGTGGGTCCCCACTGGGGCCGACAAGAACAAATGGGAGAAGGTGCCCACGACAGCTGCCCACGCGGGTGTGCAAAGCACCTGCATATCCTCGATCACACTGAATTCTTGTGACCCTGTCCACACGCCTGTGACAGACAAGATGCGGCTCAGGGAAGGCACATGCTCATCAATCACAGCTGCCCCTAGACTGGGTAACCAGTTGCTTCCACCAAGCAACTGTTGGGACACTTGGGGAGTCCCCAGCTCACCGGGCTTTCAGCCACCCCCAGACGAGGAGCCCTGCGCCACCCCGCCCGAGAGAGAGAGAGAGAGAGAGAGAGAGAGAGGAGAGAGAGAGAGAAGAAAGGCTTCGCCAAGTCCATCTGCAGACATCTCCGTTGGGGCCCACAGCAAGAGGGGCGGCATCACGGGAAGGTGCTGTGCCCGGTCCCAGGGGTGCATCCCGAAGCCCAAGGGCCCAGCTGCCCCCGAGGGAGCCTCCCGACTGAGATGGGCCCCAAGGGAGAAGTCGCTCCTGGATTCCTGCAGCTTCCCCACCTCCACCCTCTGCCCTGTGGAATCTTGGGGACTCTGAACTACAGTGCGGGGCTGGGGGCTTCTCCGGGCTGCTCTCCTGCCAGGGGGTCCCGGAGCCTCTCCAAGGGGCCTCTGCTGCTGGCCGGCCACCTGACAGGGAGTGTCCCTGCCTGGGGAAGTGGGGACTTCCAGATCATACAGCTACGGGGGGTTCGTACAGGTTCACGCTGGGCAAGCTGGGCCTGAGCTGTGCGGGCTGTTTGTTTGTTTGCTGCTCGCGGGCAGGAAGGAGAGGGGGAGGCAGGAGAAAGCTTGGCCGGAAGGAAGGAAGGAAGGAAGGAGGGAAGAAGGAGGGAGGAAGGGAGGGAGGGAGGGAGGGAAGTGGCCTGTTTGCCAGCTGCCAGGCTGCACCCCAAAGCTCCCTCCGCTCCCCGAGGCACCACTGGCACCCAGCCCCAGCCTGAGAACCGTGAGGAGGGAGAGCCAACGAGCTGGAGGGGGAACGGCAGGAGGGGGGGAAGGCGCCACAAGGCCGGGCTCCAGGAGGACGGCGGGGGTTGGGGGGGCAACTCTGGATGCAGCCTGTCCCCAAAATGTGCCCGGTTCCTCAGGCACGCCCCCATCCTCTGCACCCAGGGTCGAGTGTGCAGCAATGACTCCAAACAGGCAGGCTGTCAGCCCAGGGGGGCTGGGCCCCCCACCATCCCCGGGCCCCCGCACGGGCACTTCCTGTTTACACAGACCGTCCACAGCAGACAGACACTTTCCCGGAGCCTGGGTGACAATGGGCTGGGTGTGTTTTCTGGAGTCTTCTGGGGAGAGACACTGTGGCCGGGAAGGGAACACAGAAAGAAAGCAAAGCTCGAGCAGCCCGTGCCACAGACAGAGGCCCTCCCGCCGCCCTCCACGTGCTGCCGGCCCGGCCTCTTCCGGGCCACTGATCTGTCCCCAGCCGCTGATAAGCAGTGGCTGTGATAAGGCGTTATTCTTAAACAGTCATACTTTGGACTTGCGGGGGGCACTGTCACCACACGCTGTATCTGATCCTTGGCTCGGTGGAGCTGGCAGGGCTACAGGACGCCAGGCTCGGAGCCCCAGACCCGGCCCTGGTAGCCGGCCGACGCCCAGCCCTCCCTACTCAAGGGGGTGCAGGGGGGCCTCCGAGGGAGAACAAAACCCGACTGCCGAACCTGCGTCCCTCAGGACCTGGGCCTCGCCAGGCTCCGAGCCCCAGCACGGCACGCACACCCCGGCCCCCCATGCCTACCACGCCCACTTTGAGACCGTGAGCCATCAGTGAGACTCTGGGGAAGGAGGCCAGAGGCTGGGAACTCACAGGGACCCCCAGAAAGAGCCAGGCCTGGTCCAGGCAGAGGGGACACCGTGACAGCCCCAACACGGGAGAGGGGACCTCACAGGGCCACCAGATCCAGGCTGCATAGAAGAGATAATGGACAGGTCCCTCTCTTGTCACAAAAAAAGTATTTCAGGGTATAAAACTGACTCAAAAATGCAATCTCTGGAGGCCAGACACGGAAGCCGTGGAGCAGGGACAGGAGGGCTCGGACGGCTCAGAGTGGCTCCCCGGCCCCGGCGTGCGCCGGCGAGCGACACTCGGTAAGCTAAAGACTAACAATGGCACAGGTGCTTCTGAGGTGGTGAGCTCCCCGTCGGAGATGCAAGGACACAGGAACTACACCCGCCACTCGGGAACGGCCGAGCAGGTGGCCCCTGAGGGCCCTTTGAAAGGAAGGGGACTGCCCCATTGACCAAAAGTTTTGAGCTCTACAGGCTCCCTGCAGAATGCCCGCCAGGACCCTGCGGACCCCAGCCGGAAGCCGGGGAACCCCCACCAACTCCCTTCCGGCGGCTGCCTGGCAGGCGGGGGAGGCAGGGAGGTGGCAGGAAGCGTCAGACCCACGCAGCAGGGGCGAGGCCAGCCCGCCTCAGCCCCTCCCGGGCAGGCAGGGAACCCCCAGTTCTTGGAAAGGGGACCTCAGGGCTCCCCGGGGACTTCTGAATTTGCAGAGCTAACGAGAGCAGGATCTGAGCAGACCACAGGCGAGGCCAAGGGCCCAGGCCACGTGTCCTGTAGAAGAAGGAGGCTCACCTGAGCAGGAAGCCCAGGGCAGGGAGGGACAGGGCCCAAACAGAGGAGCAGGGGAGGGAGCCACGGGCTGGGCTGGGCCGGAGAGGGGGTGTCCAGGAGGGCCGAGGGGCACAAAGGAGGAAGGCAGACCCCAGGAGCGAGCCCGCACTGAGAGGGACAGGCTCTGAGTGCAGGCATCCACTCCCCCGACCCCTGCATCTCAGTGCCCCTGCTTGGGGACCCCCCCAGAATCGAAACCATGCAGTGGGGAGCTTCCTGGGACGCCCACCTCCAGCCCCCCCTTCCGGAAGGCCTGCTTCCCCTGCCGCCCCAAGGAGAGAGAAGTGGCAAGCTGGCGGCCTGCGGCGGGACCACGGCGCGTCGGGGTTTGGGGAAGCTGGAGGAGGGGGCAGGAAGCTCCACGGGCCCCGTGGGGTGAGGGGCCTTCACCCTGGAACCCCAGTGTGGGAGGTGCTGGCCCTGGGGAGACTAGGCTCCTGCCCAAACCTGGGGCCACAGGGCCCACCAGCCCCTGCCGCCAGAGTCCCCTTCTGTAA